AACATATGTATGTTTGTTTTTTGTCTTTGTTCTGTTATATTGATTCAATAAAAAATGCCATGTTGGATGTCGTAGTTACGACGCAGAGGCACAAGTTGATGATGTAAACTGTACTGGCCCAATTTATATATATATTTTTTGCACACATGTAACCTGCACACTCGAGCACTTATGTGCACTTCGACTGAATGCACCCTTCACAGAGGGCCGTAGGGTGCGCACTGAGCATTGGGACTGGGCCTTAAAGTTGCCACAGCTCAATTTAGTGGAAGCTAACTGGTCCGCTAACGGTTTTCAAAGACATCTGGTTATGAGCTAGCAAAGTCAACTTTTTGATTAGCTGTGCACACCACTGACAAATTTACTTCATCCAAGGGGGTGAAAACTTTTTATAGACTGTAAAAGTGGCAAACTGATCTTTTTTCCCCATCCTCTTATTTATATTATCCTTGAGTCCTTGATCTGTAGCCATGTTTGGAATAATACCAACACGTTAGAGCTCATTATCCTGATTTGTTTGATCTCCACTATCAATCAAACTTTTTGTAAGTTTATTACCATGTGTTGGTCTATCAAGGGTAAATGATGTGGATCACTTTTCACGTAACTGAAGCAAAAGAAGTGCTCTCCTGATGACCTCCTGACCCTGAAGTTGTGCCTTAAAACAGAACTGAACTATTTTCTTTAAAGTTACTTTTTACCTAAGTACTAATGTTAGATTTAGGTTTACCTTGAGGATACTTAATCAGCTGACAAAATGCTCACATTTTTTTCAATCGTGAGTGAAAATCAAGAAAAAAACATTCATAAATTAGGTTTCTTTTCTGTTTTTTTACACGTTTTAGATGTTTTGTTTTCCTCCTTTTTCTTCTTGCATTTTTCCATATGATCCAATAGTTGCATCTCAATGAAGTCATTCTGTTTGTTTACAAACCCTCTCATGAGTGTTTACTTGTTACCTTAAATTTAATTGCATTTTTTTACTTTAACAAAATGAGCAGAAACGGTTCTAACTGTCCTCATATTTGTGTTTCTTCCAGCTAAATGCGGGGTGCTGATTCAGAAGGTTTGTTACTCAGTTCTGACTGAGATGGACGACAGCAAAGATGAATAGATGTTTTTTTTTTAATCCAGACAAGAGTCTCAACCTGAGCTCCTCATCACCAGCTGCTGCTAAACAAGCATCAAAGGATGAACATTTGGGTCTAAACTGGACCCGACTCTGACTTTGTGACCATCATCACTCAGCGACTTTTTTGTTTGTTTTTATTTTACACGATGGAAACATCCAGCTCTGACTGTGACTTCAGGGAGAGGAGAACTGAAATGCACTGCAGGAGAAGCTGATGCCTGTTTTTGTTTCACACACAAAAAAAGTTAAACCTATTGTTTTCTTGCAAATTGATTAGTTTTTAAGCATCTTTAACACTGAAAGCACTGCTGACAATAGAAACTGTCTTACAGTATTTGCTCAAAAAATAAAACAAGCAATAAGCAACTAATGTTTATAAAATATTTTATACCTTCAGCTGTCAGGTCTGCTGAAGTAAAAAGGGCTATTTTTACACAGTTTGTTGCTCTGATGAATTTGACTCAAACGTTAAAGAGTTTGAAAACATTATTTATAATAAAAGTCTTTACAAATTAAAATGACTCATTCTATACAGAGGAAACGTGCACTCAGCTGTAAACACACAGTTACAACAAGCAGGAAGTGGTTGAAAGAACAGTTTATATTTGAATTAGATTTATACATATTTTACCCATCATGCCCTTCTTCTGTTCATAAATATGTACATAAATCACAGATCTGCGCAGCTAAAACAGGTGGATTCATCCGATCGTGTCTCTCCATGGCCTCGCTTTGGCTCCTGATTTCTTTGGATTAGCTGGAGCCACCTGCTGCAGAGGATTGTGGGTAAAGGTCTGCCTCAGAGGGCCTGCAGGAGGAAGAAGAAAAGCTCAACGTAAACACAAGTTCTCAACATAACCTGATACGAATCTGTATCCCGCTGAATCTGTAGTGATTTAACTTTTAAATCTGTATAAACTATAAGCAGAGCAGCTGTTAGATCAGATCAAAGTAAATAAATAAATCTGGATTTTATTGGTGCTTGATAAATGTGAGGTTAGAAAGACTTACTCAGTTCTAAAGTGATTTTATAAACTGCATTCTGTTTTTAAAATGTTTTTTTGAGGCTATGGTGCAGTGCAGCCATTGTCTCTCCTGAAAGTTGCAGGTTTGATTCCCTACCATGCCAACACGTTGCAGCACCTTTGTGCAAAACACTTAATCCCTAACTGCTCCCCAGACAGATTACATAGCTGCCTGCTGCTCCGCTCTATCCAAAGAGTTTCTGAAGAGGCGTTTCTTAGTGTGATGGGCAGAGCTTGTCCCAGCCATGATTGGTTGGCTTGTCTTGTCTTAAGGGGTAGAATAAAAGTTCAAGTAATGGTAACATTATTGAGATCATGTAAATATAATTCATTAACTTCAAATACAAGTACTAAGAGTACTACAAATACTTAGTCTACTGAGTCAGCAGTTTTATCAAAAGTTTCCAGATATTTTACAAAGTCGATACAAGGTCATTTATTTAGACTGAGAAAAAAACACAACAGATGTGACCAGAGAGGAGAAAGAGATGCTTCTTAAAATGATTTTTAAATATTGCGTATGTTTATTTCTACAGAACGTTTAAGAATCTACGAGGACTTTCTTCTAGAGCCTGATCTGTTTATTTCAACGGAGGAGTTGTTGACTTTCTTTAAGCACCTTTAAAAGACTAAAAATCTTCATATTTATTTAAACAGAAGCTGCTGGATCCAAACAGTTTGTTGTTAATAATATGGCTCAAACAAATGAAGGTGTTTCTATGTTTACAGGTACTTCTAAAAGTTTGACACCAAGTCAAGAAACCAATCTAAAATTCTGTTTTGATAAGTTTCAGATTTCTTAGTGTAATGAAGCTAAATGACCACAAGAGGGAGTCCTCTACCTTTCACTGGTTTTTAGACTCCTTTGTAATATTGTAGATGACTTTTTATAATAAAATGTTCAACTCTAAATAAGATGTGGACTACTTTTTAATAAAGTTCAGCTGGTGCACTTAAAAAAATTTTTTGATAATGATGATAATCCAGGTTGTTGAGCTGTGCACACTAATATGATCACTAACAAATTAACGGTACTTTAATCTCACTTAGAGAGAATTCTTTACATTCAGTCAAACCAGGAGAAGATCTGAGTCTAACTGACCTTTAGTAGCAAGGTCCAGTTGGTTTTTTAACCTCCTCTCTCTCTCCTCCCGATGAT